CCATTTTAACATTTACTCATTCATGACATAGTTTTGCTTACAGAAAGTTAATTATATTATCATATCATAATATGCTAGAAAGAAGCTGGATTCACCTTTTATTTACCTAGTTACACACACACACAGGTACCAAACTTATTTTATTCATTTTAGAAGTTTACAGTCTGGAAATTTCAATTTGAAATTTATGACTTTACTGCTATGAGATGATGTCATAGTGCTGATCATACACTTCGACTGCTTTTTCTTAACTAAAAAATCCTCATGTTTAAAGATTGATGAATTCGGGAATGAAAGTAATTTTATAAATAATTTATTCATAGGGTTTAACTATTGGATCTTCTGCTTAAAGAATAGTAAATTCTATAGTTCTCTCACTTGAGGTTCCCCAGTTATGCTCTGGAAATTTTCAAGCTATAATATCTTAAGTTTGTCTTTTTCTCTTTCATTGTTTAGAGAGAAACAATTTGAGCTTTAGAATATTCTCAGGCCAAAGAAATTGAGTAAAGAATTTTAAGGATCTTTGCTAATGGTTTTAACATATGTATGCATCGAATTCAAACTTCTCTACAGTTGCAAACCATGGAAAAGCTCTGTAGTACCTTGGGAAAAACCATAGTTTATTCTAGAAAGTGAGTTTAGCTCTTACTCAACCCTACAAAATAAATTTATAAGATGAAGTTTGCACCCAATTGCTTTATTTTTGTTCATATCTCAAGAAGACGATTTGAGATCTCCAATGTTTTACTTTGTGACTGCTTAGCATTATTTTGTAGATTCCATACTGATGTATAGGGATGATCACTGATTGCCATTTGGCAATATGTTGCAGCTAAGATTAGTTATGCAATTTGAAGAATTCGTGAGAAATTAGATAATTGTGTTACACATGATTGTCAGATCTTCAAAATTTTGTTTTAAAATTGTACAGAATTTAGTGATAGTATTGCGTACAGTTTTGACCACTGGAGAATCTAATTCTTCCATCTGTATGCTATGTAGTGAGGAGCTGAATCTAAATTTGACTGAAGCTGCATGGGTAAGACAGTTATTTTCATTCTTTGTCTCACATTGACAATGAAGGAAATGTAGCAATTTCCTCTTTCAAAACATCACAAATAATAAAATGACATAATAACTGCATCTTGCAGGGATATCATACCACATATTTAACAGTACTACCAAATTATGCAATGTCTTTTATTTTTTCTAACACAAATCATCAACGGCATCGCACCATTTCCTTTAGCTAGCCCAAAACTTGGCCAAAAATAATAAAAGTAATAAAATACCAAATTTTATGTGAATAATATTAAACTATTTAAATTTAATAAATAATAGTTTTGAAGAGTAAACAATCGTTACTATGTAGATGTTAAAATACACAGTGATGCTTAACATGAGTTTTATTTAAAAAAAGAAAAATCATTACTATGTGCAATGTTCCAACAGGTGGAGAGACTGTTTTAAATATTTTAACCCATGATCTCCATGTCAGAAGGCAACAACCTTACTGTTGTACCATGGCTCTCCCTCAAAGAAAACATCTTTTTTCCTATTCAATATGGTCTTTCCTTTTACCAATTTAACCTAGTTTTCAATGGCTTTGCAAGTTCTTAACAATATTTGATTTTAGAGGGGTGACTGGACTAACTAAACACCAGGCTAGTTGAACCTACCAGTTTAGTTCTTTTTTCTTTTAAAAAAAAAGTTTATTAGAAGTTCTATTTTTGGACTGGGATCATGCCTAATATTCACATACATACAGACGTACTAACCATTGGGGATTGTTAATCATTCCAGGTGTCTATACTTCCTCCATTGGCTTCAATTTTTGTGACTGGTCTTGCAGCTCAATTAGCTGACAACTTGATTTCAAGAGGAATTGAAACCACTGTGGTATGAGAGGCACAAAAATGTTATTTGTTATTGTTATTTATTATAGGCTCAATGACATTTTTGATTTCCTATATTTTATAGGAATGTTTCTATATTTTTTCTCTATTTTAATTTTAATGTGATCTCTATACTTTTTAAAAGGGCTCAATGTTGTCTCTTCAGTCAGATCAGCATTAATGTCGTTTAGAGGATGATGAGCTACCATATACTAATACAATCACCCACTCTTTTTACTCGTCTATTGTGCAATCCCAGGGTGCAAAATGGAAGAAATGAAGTTAATGTTGATCTAATAGAAGCACCACATTGAGTGTTTTTTTTTTAAAACATAGAGATCATATTGAGTCAAAAATAAATAGAGGAAAACATTCAATTATTACTACAAATGTAGGGACCAAAAATACTATTAAACCTTTATTATATGAATAATTGCTACTTGTGATATGTCAACAAATGTACTGCTTCCTCATGATAAAGTTGACATCATATTTTGTTAAGAAATGGAATTTCATATTTGTAGCCATAAGTCCTTCTCTAATGATAAATTTTGCATCCAAACTGACTGTTTACACAATGCATGTAGGAACAGTAGATATTGTGACTGTTGACCCAATGCAGACATCTCAATGACAACTGACAAATTATTTAAACATATCTATCTTGACTTTTATTCTTAATTTCTCGCTGCCTGAATTTCTTTAAAAATTATGTATAGGTTCGAAAGATCTGCCAATCTATTGCATTTTTGTCCCCTGCAATCTGCATGACTCTTTCCTCACTGGATCTAGGGTTACCGCCTTGGGAGATTGTGGGAATTCTCACAGGTGGTTTGGCCCTCTCAAGCTTTGCCTTATCAGGTACTGGTTAATCCTGCAAATATCATTGTTTGATTCATATACTTTCCTTAGCCTTCACTGTCTGTATTTACTGCTTATCCAGGACTATATTGTACTCACCAAGACATGTCACCCGAATATGCAAGTATACTTCTGGTATGTGTGCTTGCACTTCTTTTCGTTTATATGAAATTGGAGATTGTGAAATGTTTTACAAATTCCCAAAAGAACAAAGGGTTTATTTGAATAAATTTTTGCTGAAGTACTTTTAAGAGAAGAAAATAAGGAGAACCATAAATTAAATTTAAGTTATGCATAAACTAATTTGTAGAAACTTTCTCATATTAATTATCTAAAAGATGATTTTTAACTATAAATTATGTCATTTCAAAGCTTTTCTGCAGTATTTCATTTTGTAGTTTCTGCACATCTTTTGTTGTTCTTAAGTCCTCTGTTATCCTCCCTACAAGAATCTTGAATCAGGTAGCATCATTCATCCATCAAATTTTAGGGAAAGAAAGGGACACAGATATTCTTTGCATCTTTAGAATTATATTAGTTTAATTTTTTTGAATAAAGGATTTCAATCTTTAGGTTATCCTGTTCATGTAAATGCCTAACTAATTGTGAGTTTTAGTTTATAATTATTAACTTTTGATGGATTTATACTCCATCCTAAGTTTGAAGACTATCCAATTTTACCAACGCAAAAGAAACTCCTCTTCACCTAAGATGTTATAGAGGAATAACTTGAAAATGCATAGACTAAACCATGCTCAGTATTTGACGTTAGAGGTTGGATTAGAGCAATATCCAGAATTTTTGGAAATAAAAAAAAAATATCTGAGTTGCATCTGACTTTCTTCTTGTTCTGTTTCTCTCAGGGTATAACCAATACTGTTGGGGCTGTTCCTGGATTTGGGTGTAGCCCTCACTGGTTATCTTCTTGACTTAACTCATTCATGGAGCGTAAGTTAGCTCGCTAATGTTGTTGTTTTCTCAATGTGCTGTATATCATTATGTGAATTTGATTTATATTTCATTTCTGGCATGTAGATTTCACTATTTGCACCATCAATCTTCTTCTATATGACTGGTACCATGGTATGGTTGGTGTTCGCCAGCAGTAAGCCTCAAAGTTTTTCTGAGCATAACTGATTCATGTTCCAATCATTCACTATGTATGAGAAGTGGATTTTTGACACGGGGGTATATCCTTTTGATATTTACAAATCAGATAATCTAAGTACAAAGAAATGATTGTATAGGTATTACTGTATGTATCTACGTATGTATTCTTATTTTTCAATTGTAGAATATTATAGCATTTTGTATATTTTTCACAGATGATGTTATGGTGGTTGGTCACCAAAAAATGTACTGACAACTTAAATCCTTGAAAGTCAAGAATCAGTTTCCTTAACCAACTTCTGGTGTTATGGTCTCTCTTGCAGTTTCAACCAGAAGTGACACTTTGAATGATGAATCTTTTACATTTAAGGCTATAAAGCCTCTCTCCTACTCTCCATGCATTGTTTTTTGCTTTTTTTAATTGTTTTAGGACATATTTCTAACGTTTTGGTTGTGAAGTCAACTGCATCATTATTGATGACCACCCACTGCTCTGCTTAGATTTCCTCTCACTCGTCATTTGTTATTGAGATTTTTGTTATGTGGTATTTCAGATATATTTTTGAATGATGATGAATGAAATGGATACAACTATGTTGAATAAAATGTATTGGAATAGAAATGAAATAAACAAAATTGTCATTTCATTGTTGGATGCTGTATAATGAAACAAAACAAATTTTATTTCATTGCTCGGAAGAAAAAGATGGAACGTTATAAATATTATTTTTTAATTTTTATATTATGTTTGTTTTAATAACTCACTGTTTTATTTATCATGTGCTTTTCAAATTGGAAAGAAAATTGGGATTGAATAATGGAACATTATGAATTATGATTAATATTCTTTTGCGTTCCTATTTTAACAAATCAAACAAATATAACTTTTCTTTCACTCATCCTCTAGATAATAGTTGAAAAAAGAGAGTAAAAATTAGTTATACAGTTATTATTTTGAAATTATTAATAATAAGAAATTTTGTAGGTCTTATTTTTTATTCAATGAATATCACTTATGATTTTTTTAGTTTTTTTAATATATTATAATTAAGTTAAGAATTGTGTCAAAGGTTTTAATATAATTTAATTAAAATTTGCAATGAAAATTAATTAATTACGTTAATTGTTGTACCTTTTAGAAGAATATTTCATAATTGACGTCACATTACAAAAATGACTATTTAGATTCATCTATTAAAAAGTGATTCATAACACCGTTGTTAATAAAGGAATCATAGAATATATCTTTGCAATAAATATTAATAAAACATGAAAAACGAGATGATTTTTCATGTTAGACTTTCTCTTCATCTATAAGAAGATTTATAACTAAAGATAATATAAGAGTTTAAAAAAAATTGTTTTAGAATGAATGATATTTTTAAAATGTTTAGAAGGTGAGAATAGATTATTTTAATAAAAATTTTAATAAATAGAACTTTTAAACAATTTTTATTATTTTAAAAGCACACCATTTTCTTAAAAAAAATTCTTCTAGATTTCTTCCTTCTTTTTAATTTTCTCACAATTTGTGTCACTATTTGAAGATTGGAGATCTCCAGTCTGATTCTTGGACGAGTTCTCTACTTTTGTTCCATCAATTTCTTTAGATAAGGTTAGTTGATTTTTGTGTGGTAGGATGAAATCCAATGACAATGACTCTGCAGAGTAATAAAGGTTACCACAAGTATATAATTTGTGAGAGTCTGATATCAATAAACATATTGAATGATCGAGTCTAGTATGTTACTTGTATGAGTTAAAACCATGATAGAGTGTTTGTATGTGTTAATATTTCTATATATGTTGTATGATTGCTTTTTTTGTACATTAGCTTACCTTTTCTTCTATATTTGTATGTTCTTGTGTTTTTTTGTTTGCAATGATCTTTCAATGGTGTTACAAAGGAAGAAGATGTACCAGTTGATTCAGTACAAGGGCCGAGAGTGATCAACAACTTTAGTTTGTGATAGATTTTGTTTTTGTATAATTTCTTTTTTTTTTTTGACAAACTCTCCTATTAATGTATATATATGACTCTTAGTGTAAGGTGAGGGAGATGCAACAACAATTTAGTTTAGGATAGAATTTTGTTTTGTATAATTTCTTTATATTTTACTTGTTAACTATCACATCTATAATGTTTTACTTAGTATTATATTTTAACTTTATCCTATAATTATATTAAAAATTATATATTAATTATATTTAAAATTTATCCTTTAATCCAATGTGGCAAGAGATTAAATGTCCCTTTCAATTTACCCGAGACATTTAAAATTTGTCACAAGAACTGAATGGTAGGCATTAGAAAACAAACAAGTAGTCAAATTTGTGTAGGCCCCATTAGGAGAAGAGAAGATAAAACTATCACCAATAATAAGCTTAAACACAATTTTCATGTATTCTATCTCTTATTTTACGAATCACCAAGTGAAACCAATTTTCGGATTCACCTAGTGCCACTAAGCTAGCTGCATGCTGCAAGAATAACATTTGGTATATGAGCAAATACAATAGATAGAGGGCCAACTGTTATTGGCTTTGTTGAGTCTACATATATAGGCTCCAAAGGAGGAATTTCACCAGCTGAGTTTACACTTAAAATTTTTCCATTTAGCAACATGATTTGGCTATGTAAATTCCTCTCTGGTGCTGTTAAATGGTACTCTCTTCTCGCTGGTTCATGCACTCCACTGTGAGGTAACTTGTTAAATTTTAAGTCCACGTTCACTTCAACTGTGGTGCTGCTATCCAAGTTGAGCACTAATATTGTCACCCCTTTCTGTAAGAGAGAATATCACATCAGATTTCAAGTATATCACACCTACCATGTACAAATACATACACAGAACTTCTTCACTTACGGATTCCTTTGCACAGTGTGCATAAGTTCTTATCTTCTTTGTACCATAGAAGGTGGTTAAAAGGACACGCTGTCCCATGAGTCGGTGCCAAAGAAGTGCACTGTAAGAAAGAAAGCACAAATCCACAAAAATGTACTTCAAATGGGACCCCACTTTAATAAAACCTCATGTTGTTTAGAAGAAATGTGTTCCTTAATAAAGTGGCAAGCAATTAATGAAGCAAATATCACACACATGGGATGACTGAATCTGATAAATCAGACAGTATTTAAATAGAGATGATGATGCTCATTGTTCAACTATGAAATTCATTTTTTAGTACCTGTAATAGTCTGGATTTGGCATGAAAGTACTAGTATTCAGTAAACCATAGTTTCCTCCTATCAAACTTTGTCTGCAGTATGTTCTGGTGTCATAAACAGCTGACATGCCAAGCTGGTCTAAATACCTGTGCTTAATATGATGGCTTTAGAAAATAAACCTGTAGGAATCTCTTTGTGTATTGACAAAGCAAGGGAAGATACACTAACCAGAAACTGTAGACAAATGCATCAGACACAAGATGATGGCCACTATTATAGGCCCCTCCTGCCTCACCAACCCATGATTTTGCCTTGTTTGTTGAATTTTGAAGTATACCTTTGAGACTTCTGAATGTGTCAGCCACTCCATCCAGACGGGAAGGGTTAAGAATGCTTTCAATTAAGTGGTCATCAACTCCTGTAAGTAGCTTTGAGTTAGAAATGGAGACTAGGAAAACATGATAAATTTATATCCAGTGGGGAAGATACCTGGCCCAAGATTATAAATGTGGTGGGTGACCACATCTGCAGATTTACCAGACTTGCTTATAAATTCCTTAAACCAATCTGCGTCAAAGAAGCCTCCAGGAGCAATAACTAGTGGCTTTGGTACAATCCCTCTATATTCATTTTGAACTATCTTTCTTAGAGAAGCAACATCAGAAGCATATTGATCTGCTGCAACACTTACCCCAATTCCATGTCCACACAATTCATTCCCTGCACGTAACAAAAGACTCCCTAGTGGTTAGTCCACACACAAGATATTCACATTGCTTATACAACACCACAGTTAATTCTAAAGAAGGAAAGTTGGCATTTTCTTTCTTGTAGCAAAATAGTTTGATGATTACAACTATTTATATAAAAATTAAAATTTTTCAGGTGAACTCATGCCGTGTGATAAAAGATAATGATAGCATTAACCCTTAAAATTTTAATGCCCAGTCTTATTGTTCCATTTGTTATGAGCGCAGCATAGTCTTACCAAGTTCCCAACCATGAATGTGGTACTTCTTTCTGACAGTGTATCGTATTAAAGATTCAGCATTGGTGTAGTTCCAAGGTCCAACAGCAAAACCAGACTTTATAGATTTTCCAGCAAGCTCATTTAATCCAAAGATAACCTTAGCCCTGAAATATACCTACCATTGATGTTAAACTTGTCAAAAACACAGTTGCCAAATCAACAAGATAAGTCTATTCAGTCCCAACCACACTCATGGTTGATGACTCAAAAGGGAAAACTGATTTTACCCTGCTTTCTGGAAAAAGCTGTTTAGCTCATCCCACCTCTTCATCGGTAAGCACCCTCGAGTGAAACCAAACATTTCATTAGCATTCAAAACAAAAGGAGTACAGGGTTCTCGATTATCTTCAGTTCCGTATATGACCTTGTCTTGCAAAGTGCCACCTACTCTAATTTTCATAGATGAAAAGGCTGCAAAACGTTCAAAGGCAATGATACCTTAATAAACTCCCAAAACTACAACGAATCATCCAACAAAATATCTGAAAAATGAAGTAATAAACAACCCAGCTGTGAATCCTTTCATACCTTTTACTGCATTTAACAAAATTTTGTTGTTGAGATCCTGCAACAGATAAAAGTTATAGATGTAAATTCCCTCTGACATTTAACAACTATATCAGATTCGGAAAGTTTGTGACATGACTAGAACCTTTACTGCTGGTAGAGGGGATAATCTCATCATTAAATGATCAGAGAATTATTATTTGAAAAAATAAATAGATCTTTTTGCAAAAATTATTGTTCAGAAAACAACCTAGACATGCATTCTAGATAGATTCGAACATCATTCCGAAGAGGGAAAAAAAGCCACCGTACAGCAAATGTTATTTATAAATAAAAGGAAGGAGACGCAAAAGCCATCTTATTATTCCGAAGAAAAAAAATGGCAGATTAAGAAACCTTAAGAAAAAAAAATAATGGAACTAACCAGATTAAGCAGAGAAGCATGCCCCCAACTACATTTTCCATAGTCACATTTCTGAGGAGGCCACCAATCCAGAGTTGCACACACAAAATCATCATCAATCCTTCCAATAGCACATTTCCCATGAACTAAAACAATCCCTTTCTCAACTTCTCCCACTCTTGCACACATAGCACCCACTGAAATGAAGCTTAAGCTTGCCAAGTACATCCATAGACACAGACCCAGAAGCCTTATCAGACAACCCATTTCCAGATTCAGCTAAATTTAAGATCTTTGTGACTTTTCTCAAATGGGCTGCTGAGAATTCATAGAACTGAGGCTTTGCTACAGCAGCAGATTTTACTTGCTTGCCATAGAGACAAAAGAGTGCTGATAATATAATGGCATAAAACTTCCTTCACAGGAAAGTTATGTTATGCCTGGCTGTTGCAAATGCTGGTGGAAAGAATGCAGCACTTATAAACTTGAGAATGCCTCCTCTGTCTCATCTGTTTACAGGTATCAGTTTCGAAAGAATCTTTAATAAATCACTGAGACTTTTTAATAATGCATATAAGTATAGAATAAATATTTACAAAAGGATAATGATATTTCACAATAATTTTTTTATAACATTTTAATATTATCTATTTATTTCAAAATTACCTCATAATTAATAATAATTATTATAAATGCCAACCTAGACTAATCACGTAAATGATGTTAAAATATTATCAAAATAATGTATCAAAGTATTGTTATCCTTTCTCAACTTAACATAAGAAAAAATTAAAAAAACTCATGATGTTGTGTACAACTGTCCCTTTTATTGAACACTTGCTTTTTTTAATGATTAATGATGAGAAAAACAAAACTCTACTTGTGAGTTAATTTACTTTAATTAATTCAACTTATTTGATTTAATTACATCTTTATTTTCTAGACGCTGTAATTTAATGTAGTAATTAATCATTTCTCAATTATCATAAATGAAACAATTGTAGAATAGCTGTCTGATTAATCTCTGAAAAACCAATTAAACTCTATTGTTCAATAAAATAAGAAATTTACTATCTTCCATTTTTGCTTCGACTTTACTTTCTTGCTTAAGCCGTGTGAATATCAGTATAGATAACAATCATTCTTCCATGTTAGTAGTAAATAACCAAAAGGATTATAATGATAGCTATTTCTTAAAGTATATAGTAGTAGTGCTTTGATAAAATCAAGAAAATAATGGTAGGTTTTTATAATTTAAAGAAAATCTCTTGTTGTTTTTCAAGAGAGCTTTTTTGCAATGTGAGAAATTTATAATGGAAGAAGAAATTAACGCGATTTTTGTTGCCAGTGGGGTCAGGATGAGGAAGAAAGTACAGAGAGGGTGAAACAGTGGACAGAGCAAGTTTCTGTGTTTTCAACTTGCATGGAAGAATTATTTGTATTTTGGAGTCGGCAAATCGAATATTGCATTTATATTTTGTTTTCTTTTATCATTTTGGCCGTATACAACACCATGATTTTTCTACGCTGTAAATGGTTGAGCGCAACGAAAAGATATGGATATGATGGTTACGCTTGAACCATCTTCATGTGACATATTGCTTCATTTCTATTTATGTTAAAGTGATTGAAAAAGTTTTAAGCTTTGAAATGTTCGTTTGGTGCATCGTTCAATGTCAATATCTCATAATTGTTGAATATGAACAAAGTTTAAAATAAAATAAAATAAAAAATGAATATATTTTTATATACCTATAAGATATCTTTATTAGTAAAAAAATTTTAAAGTAAAGCGGACAAATCTTATTAATACAGACATGTATAAGTAGGTGTTTATTGAACCTTCTTACAGTAATGACTTGGACTTGGGATGAACTAAGTGAGGAAGGCTTGATTTGGTGGTCATGTCACGGAAATATTATTTTTCCTTTCATTCAGACATTGCTTTCATGGTCACAACTTGTGTTCTCTTAGATTGGTTTGGATTGGATAACGTTTTTGTGCCAAACAATTTTTAGGAAGGTTTTTATTACAGTTTAAATCATTTTGTGTTTTTGTTTTCTGCTGACACCATCCTGCAACACTCTTTATTCTATTCCCCTTTAGTTTTCTAACCATTTTTGTTTTCTCAATACTCAAGGTAAATGATTTGATTGAGTTATAACCACTTCCTTAGTATAGTTTTGTGTTTTTGTTTACTGTCATTAAAATGATTAAAAATATAAGATGTTATTTTTAGAAAAATGACATTCTTATGTTTATGGTGTTTTTTAAACTTTATGTCAATTAAACACTTATCATTTATAGACTCATAAAAGTCATAAATGTTACCATTAAATCATCATTTATTTTCTATTAATATCTAATAACTACAATATTAAACCAATGACGTTATTCTCTAAAAATGACAAAACTCTTAAACAAAATTAAATTTATCGTATTTAAGTTTATCTTTTAAAAGTTACATTCTTTATATGTTTCTAACAACAAATGGATCCGTTTCATACAAATTCAAGAAAAAATTCTTTCTGGTTCTGTGAAAGTAAAATGGTTAGCTGGCACAAGAAAAAATAGACCATTAGGTGATGCATAAACGAAAGAAAAAGTTCTGAAATTGGTGCCGAGCCCACCAACTGTTTGTTGTTTTGCAAGATGAGTGCGTAGATGGTATTCAAATGTAACTAATGTGATGAAAATTGAAAGCCAAAAAGTGTTCCAATTTTATGAAGTGGAAAGTGTCTCTCTCAAATTTACATGCCCCCATTGAAGTACTACAATCATCTCTACTCCATTATCACTAGCTGTGGTCCAGAGCATTGATTTGTTGAGCTACTACTATACCTTCTCATATGCACCTATGGTTGATGGATATAATTGGTTGATTGGGTCCATCTTTGCCCATATTGTTTATAATTTTAAAGTATTTCAGACACTTTGGATTAGGATGAATGGGAGCATACACACAATTATTCTTTGTTGTTTTGTTTTCCCTTGTATTAGAGGGAAAGGTATCATTGTTTGGTGAAATATTTGTTCAGTCCAAATTGACCTTAAAAGACACAATTACAATTGAAAAAGGAAATGTATTACTTTTCCTACTTCAGTTGTCATCCACTGCGCCACATTAATCTTCATAAATTATAATTAACAATTGGTATCTTAAAATGACAACTTTATAAAAGAGTTTTCTTTTAATAAAAATAGTATTGTGATGAGTTTTTCAGAATTGGATTTTTTTATAGAATGAATTTCTTCTGTATAAAACTAATTTTGAATCGTAGTTGTGGATCTGAATCTAATGTTAGGTGACTTTTTGCGAAATCCCAAATACATGAAAGAGTGAAAAAGTTGTGATTGTTTCCCTTTTTCTAGGGTTAGCTTTTCAAACCTTTGACCCAAAAAGGTGGGACCTTTACGGAACCAGCAGGAGTTAACTACCTTAGTTACACTAATATTTTCATGTTCAGAAACATAAAAAAATATTCTGTTCTTTTACAAATAGATTGCAAAAAAAAAATGAAAGAGTATAAGGTCGTACGTTATGATGTAAAAGAGATTAAAATAAAAACTTCACTGGGCCAGTATGGTTTTCACGACCGGGTGTTTCTTCCTGCATTCTACTTTTTTTTTTCTTTTCACACCTCTATAAAACTTAAACTATCCTTCATTAAAATTATATAAAAAATTTACATTTATTTTTTTTATCCTTCATTAAAATTATAATAAAAATATTTAAATTAATAATTTTTATACTTTTTGAATTGAATATGTAAAAAAATATTTTCAAATTCAAAAATATCTTTCAGAATATTCAATTTAAAATATTTAAAATTATAATCAAGTATGTATAAGATATTTTGAAATCTGAATAATATATTTTAGAACGTTTAATTTAAAATATAAAAATACTTTTTAGATTAAATATTTTAAAAAATATTTTCAAATTTTGAAACCGTATTGTATAATCACTCAATCAGCCAAAGACGGTACAACTAACCATCTAGTAAAAAATGACTGAAAATTAATTTGGACAATAATAACAATTAAGGAACAGTTAAGTAGAATAATAATTATTTATTGGTGATTAATGAGTCAAAAATATTTATAAATATAAATATATATATATATATATATATATATATATATATATAATGAAAAAAGCGGGTAATTGAGTAATTGAGTGTCCAAGTGTCCTTTAGAGACACTCTCCTCATTACTAAGACAAAGAGAAGAAAGAAAACAGCATAACCTAGATGATGAAACAAACAACTCTGAATGCTTTGAATAAAAGATCTCAACCCTATCCAAACAGAAACTAAAAAATATTTTTATTTTCTGAACTAAATGAATGTAATATATTTATAGATTCAAAAATAACGAAATGTAAAAAAAAAACAAAATTATAGAATGATGGATGCGGAAGGCATGCCATTTTATTGAATCTTCCATGTAGAGGTTCCAAACAAGAGGTCGAGCGGAGATGATTTGGGACAAAATGGAAGGAAGACAACATGTATGCCGAGCCGGAGAGCATATTGAAAATTATGGAGGTACAGGAAAAAAAATGGGGGTACAGAGAGTTAACTATAGAACTTTTAGTTTATTAAGTATACTAATTTTGGAGTCCAAATTTTTTGTTTTTTTTCATATTGCACTTAATTTAATATATTAAAAGAGTAGCATACTTTGTAATACTAAAATTGGTATAACTTTGAAATAAATAAATAAATAAAAATGTCATCTAAACACAACCCGACTTTCAAATTTCAAGTAGGATGTGCATTAAGTTTTATTTTGTCTACCTAATTTTCAATTTCATTTTGACAGTGGTAAATAATTGTTTCGCCTAAGTGAAGGGAGTCTCATACTCAAAACACTCTAAGTTGTCCTAAAGATTGACGATGATTCCTCATCATCTAAGTTGTGATTTTTTTTTCCTTGTCCTGATGGGGGCGAGTACTTGTCAAAAGATATTCCATGATTTACTTAATAATTCTTGTAATAAAGATGAGTAATCATAGTTAAATGACTTGCCTTTTTTTTCATACATATATTTATAACATAATGAGTTTACCATTAGGTCTGACTCATTAATCACCAATAAATGACTTTCATTATTCCTATTAATCTACATTCAATGACTATTATTTTTCTTAATTGTCCATTAATAACTATTATTGTTTATATTAGTTATCAATTAATGACTATTTTAGACCAACCGGTCATTTTCTTGCTTAATGGTCGACTGCTCAGTCCTTGACTGACCGGGTGGTCATACAGTACACTAATAAATTTGATATTTTTTAGAATGAGTTTAAATTATGTTTTCAATTACAGAATAAGTTTTATATTATTTTTAAAAATTATTTACTAAAAATTACCAATATTGTGTATATGTAGCATAATATTATATATTATTGGTTTTAATATATACTATTAAATGTTTTCTTAAATTAACATTTATTTTGCAATATTAAGAGTGATACAATGTACATGTAAATTAAATTGACTTCATCT